GTTGTGCCTTTACCCATCCCCAGCTGTTTCTTACCCAGAGGGACAGCTGCCCACAGCAACAAAGAAATGTCAGTACTTTGCACTAGAAAACTTACCAGCCAAATGGGAGAAAGAAATGTTCCAAACCATGTGGCAGGCACCAGAAAATCACTCCTGTGTGGTTGGAGGAGGGAAAAGGAGGGGAAAGGGAAAGGGAAAGAGGGAAAGGGAAAAGGAAAAGGAAAAGGAAAAGAAAAAGAAAAAGAAAAAGAAAAAGAAAAAGAAAAAGAAAAAGAAAAAGAAAAAGAAAAAGAAAAAGAAAAAGAAAAAGAAAAAGAAAAAGAAAAAGAAAAAGAAAAAGAAAAAGAAAAAGAAAAAGAAAAAGGCTGGAAGATTTGATTCATAAAGGGAATGAGCTGTAAAATAATGTGCTTGGACTGGCTAAGCTGAGGTGGGTGTGAGAAAAGTGGGTGACAGCCAGCAAGCACCAGAAAGAGCCCAGGCAGTGAGAGAGAAAAGCACAGCCTTCTTGGTGAGAATGAGACGCACAGAAAGTGCATGCTAAGTAGGAGTGCCAGGATGACATTTGAAAAGGGGAAAATTTAGGCTGAGCATCAGGAAAAGCTTCCTGACAGTGAGAAGCATGCACTGGAACCATCCCACGGGAGAAGCCCTGGAAGCCTCATCACTTGGCTTGCGAGGACCGAGCTGGAGGAGAGCTGCAAATCCTGGAAAGGCCTTATCCAGAGCTCGCTAAAAGTCAAGAGCAAGGCTTGGACTAATTATGGGAAGCCTGCCTCAAACTCCACAACCAGGAAGATTGTGCAGGAAGAGGGGAACTCCCAGTAGGTGACTGGGTGGCAGCAGACTCCAGGCACAGGCATCACTCTCCCCACAGAAGCTGAGAAAAAAACAGATGAGCGTGGTGGGAAAATAGATGGGGAAATAAATAATCCCTTCTCCTTTAAGGCAACATTATCTCTCAGAGAATAGTTGCTCTGCTCTGGCCAAGGCACAGGCAGCTAGGGCTCAGGCTTCTGTTAGTCTGGGCCCCTGGGAAGGCCAGCTGCCAAAAAAGAGGGAAATTTTGCTCTAGTCAGGGGGTAGGGCATGGGTACATTGGAAGAGAAATGAGAGAGTGAGGTAGCTTTCCACAGGAGACCAAGGGAGCAAGGGAAGACAGGCACTGTGTCTCTGGATGTGTAGCAAAGCAAGAAGCCCATCAGGACAATTGGGACTTGGGGAAGGAGGTAACAGCTGCACGCAGAAGCCAAGGCAGAGAAGCTCCAGGAATGATGCCATTTCCCTCCTATCAAGAAGAAGTCTTGTCCAAAGAAACTCATTTTAAAAGCAGCTGGGACGCTGACTGTTCCCAGGGCTCACTGAGCCACCAGCCCTCTCTGTCACAGGAGGCAGGAGGCAATTTACCCTGCGGGGAGGCAGAGTAATTTCTCTTGCAAGGACTACCTCTGTGCACCATTCCTGGGCATGTCACTTGGCCAGCTGTGCCCACCCAGGCCAGGTGGAGAGGCTACAGCATGAAGTCCCAGAGCCAAGAGAGCTGCGAGCCAAGATCACAGGGGACACAATGTGAGCTGAGCATCATCCCACCAATTCCAGTGGCCTTAGTGGGAGCTGACATCACGACGTCACTTCCACAGCATGAAACTGAATTTCAAATTCCAATCCCATGTGAGCTCCTTCTACCTCCAAGGATAGTATCTCTGTGCCAAAGGTAGCCACATATGCAGGAGATAGTCAGGCACAGGCAGTAAAGCAATAACTGGGCTGTGCCTGTTGTGTGTGCCATCCATCTCCCATCCCAGCTTTTACTGCTGTGTTCCTTTATTCAGAAACACCACCTTCTCCATTTAAACAGCAAACCCGCGAGGGCAGGAAATGACAGCCCGTGCTCTTGCCAAGCCAAAAGAAATGGAGCTAAAGAGGAAAGCCTATTTTAAGAGTAAAGTAAAATATAAAGAGGTTGCACTTATTTCCAGACCAGGCATTACAAAACCAGGGAATTCAGAGTTAAAGTTATGCTTTAAATAAATTCAAACTTGTTGAAGTGTGGCAGTGTGCAACCAAGGCATAAAAATAGCCAACCAAGGCATACAAATAGCCTTAATTCTGCCCTGCACTGACACAGCCTTAGAACTGTGATTAAAATGTTTCAGTACTTGCGTTCCTAGATTACCCTGATAGCTACAATTTTTTTTCATATTCTCTTGCTTTTCCCCTCCTCCAACAACCCTGTGCCCCAGATATTGCCCCTAGCACAGATTTCACTGCCTACCAGGAAAAAAAAAAAAAAAAAGATATATATCACAGGTCCTTCATATCTGTAATGGTAGCCCCGGGCTAAGCATTGTCTTGGAAATACCCTCCCTCCTACCCTCAGATCCGCAGCCACCCCTGCCCAAGGCTCTGAAGAGCATAACTGAAATGTATACCCAGTACCTGCTGAGGAGAAGGGAAGAGCTTTCTTCACACCTTTGATACTACTGTCGTCTACACTCACATATTTATTTTACAAACCCATTAAAACCTTGGGTTTAAAGTGTAGAGAAGTATCATCTGGATAAACAATTATGGCTTTTTGTCAAGGATTCAGGAGCTAATCGAGTCCAGATCTGTTCCACATTCACATTTGCATGTGATATTGTACTTACTGAGCTAGAAAAAGTCAGATTAGCATCAAGAAAGAGTCAGCTCTGCCCTCATCTACGCAGAACAAACTCGGTGGAGTGAATGGGGGCTCCCAGGGTGTAACAGAAGGCAAAGTTTGGCCCCAGATACTTGCAGGCCGTTTGGCTGAGATGCACATGAAAGTGGCTGCTCTGCACTTCAGCCCAGTTTGAAACGACTCTCCAGAAGTTCTATTTACTTAAGAGTGTGGGTGGCCTGAATTGTCACGATGCGTTTAAATATTTGGCACTAAATCACAGCTGTCCACTTATTTGCACTTTTGCTGCTGGGCAGCAGGAACACCCCTGGAATTAGTCAGCATGAGATGCATTAATGAGCTAACAGATATATTATGGTTTACATTTTGGACTTCTTTTGTTCGCATAAATACACACCTACTCTCTGCTTCTTTCCCAGAACAGCGCATATTCCTGAACATGTTGACTTTCCAAGCTTTATTTTATTTGGCCTTTATTAATGAGCTAGCAAAGTTTTCTGTTATGCAGAAAAGCACCTTGCCCCTAGCAGCCTTTCTGTGCATTACATGCAATCCTGAAGAGACTCATTGTGCGAGGGGAAATCATCCAGCCTCAGAGAAGCTTCTCTTCATAAGCCAAAAGCCATCCTCTGCATGTAAAGATCCCAAGTAAATATGGAACCAATAACAACCACGAGCAAAGACCTTTGCATACGGAAAATATTTACACAGTCCGTGTTACAAGTCACATTGGCTGGAGAAAAATGCTTGCACTTTTGCTGTGCAGAAAGCAGGCAATGTTTTGTACAAAAGGAAAGAAAATCTTGTTATCTGAGTTAACAGTCCCACAAGTCATCCATACCACTTCTTCACTGACAGCCACCTTTTATAAATCATAGGTATAGCATAGGTCATGATTTAATAACTCACCATCAAACTGTATCCCGTTCAGTAGGACTGCAAGGTTGGTATCAATTCTTTGCAACTTGTATGCCTAATGGATGCTAATTGCAAAATATAATAATTTTTTACTAAACAAAATAATGGAGATTTTACCAGGGTAATGCTGTAGTATGGTATCAGTGGGAGCCAGTATTGTGTGTGTGTGAATAAAATAGTTTTTTGTTTTAAAAAAAAAATGCTTATTTGCTGACACTGAAGTTTCTTGTGGGAATACATCACTTTTATAATTTAATTTTCATCTGGAAGATTTTTCAGGTCAAAAATGGAATTTCTGGTCAGAATCGTAGCAGAGAGGAACACACAGGAAGCTGGGCTCTGAACTGAGCGCAGCCGGACCTCCTTTTTGCTCATTTTTGGCCATACTTCTCCAGCACTGTATCCCGGTTTTCACTCCAGCCCCTCCCAGGAGCAGAAGGTGCAAAACCATGGACTGAAAGCATGGGCCTACTTTGCAATTGTATTTTCTGGGAAGCATCCCCAAACGGGTTGTTGCCTTCAGCCAGAGGACCATGAAGGAGCAACCCCACTGCCAGCAGCCACTCTCACCCACGCAGCAGGATCTGGGAGAGGATGTCTGGCTATATCTGCCTTCCCCTCCATGTGCAGGAACTCACCATATCAACCGAAAGCACCTTTGGTAAAGGCATAAAAGCACCCTCCCCCCTGGGAGGTTGCACGGCTTGATCTGCAGCAGTGGAAGGAAGCGGGAGAGCCCAGCTGCCAGCAAGCCTTCCTACCCTCATTGCCTGATTCACCAGAAGCCCGGATGCTTTTTGCCACCATAATGACCACACACCAGAGCTGCAAACCTGGTTTAACTGGCCAGTTTGTGACACTCTTGTGTCCACAGAGTGGTATCAAATAGCTGGAAGGGGCTGGTGCAGGCTGCTGCAGCAGAGGCGGAGACTGAGCTGTCACCAGCCACAGTGCACAGCCTTGTCCTCCATTCACCTTAAGGAGGACAAGTCAGAAGCGGTTCAGCTCAGCCACAGCAGTCAAATGAGTCTGAAACACTTTAAGGAGGGATCAAAATCACATGCGCGTGTGTGCGTGTGTGGTTTCACAACACCTCCCTCTCCCCACCACCAGCCACACCAGTTTCCTCAAAGCAGAACAGTAGAGGACAGAGCCGTAGTGCACTAAAGCCTTGTTTTTCCCACTGCTTAAAGAACTGACCCAGCCCCCTCAAATGTTCCCAGCATATTTGAATCGTGAGTCAGAGACCACAATGGAGATACTTGCCTAGCTTGACAAAGTTTTAAGTACATCCTGCCAAATAGCAATCACTGATTTTTTGCTCTGTCACTCATGAGCCCTGTTCCTGCTGCCCTAACCACACAAAACACACTGCCTCACTGGGGAAGCGAGGATTACTGTCTGGATGCTTATTTGTAGCATCTCCAACTTCTCATCGTCCCTTTCACGCAGAGCGCTGCCAACAGAGCAGATGGAAACTTGCAGGTATTGAAAGCTCGTGTCTCTGTATCCACTGTGGAAGCAATAAAGATAGAGAATGGAAAGAATGGCAGCATTGCTGACAAGCGAGGCCAGAAAACACTTCATCTTTACAGGCAGGGCCTAGCATTTAAAATAAATGATAACTCAAGAACAAGATTTCCACAGACTGGTCTAGCACCTCATTTAGCAAAACATCCTAAGGCTTAGGAGCTAATCTGTGATGGACCATCACACCCTTCATTGGGCTGCCACCACTGAGGTAAACCTTAGCAAAAGGGAGCAACCAGCAGTAGGAAGCACTAACCATGTCTTTCCTCATAGCTAAAGCCACTCCCTATCAGGAGTTAGCATCCAAAGTGACAAAAAAATTTTTCAGTCTTTCTTTTGCAGGGGCAAAAGGCCTGCAGCGCTGAGCAGGGCTCCATTTTCTTCCCCTGCTCCTGCATATCATCTGAACAGTTCATACAGCCATGCTAGGGGCAAAAAGATTATTATTGGACCATAGGTCACACTTATTTCCTATTTGTAAGTTGCCCTGCACAATCATGAGTGCTAGAAAGTTTTTTCTTATTTAGCTTCCCCCTTCCATGCACTCTGGCAGAGAGGCACAAGGGCCTCAAGGAAATCCCCCAGTTACACAGTGCAAGGCTTGATCTGCAGTGAGGAGAGCTGGCAGCTGTGCAGTGCACCTCAGCACGGCAGCTGTTGCTCCAGTGGTGGAGGCATGTTGGGAGGAGTCTGAGTATCAGTAGCTGAGAAGAAAAGTCAGACACAACCAAACCTTCCAGTGTTACATGAAGTCAAGGTTGTGTGTGTATGTGTGTGCACTTACTTAACTTTTTTTTTTTTTTTTTCCACTGCAACTAGAGTTAATATTTCTTCAGAGGATTCATGCTCATACTTGTACCGAGAAATCCTTGTCATTATCTTTCCATCGCCTGGGCTACAATGCAGGGAGCAGCAAGCTGTTATCCATCCCTGCTGTCTGGGGTTTGGGACAGCTGGGCTGCAAGGCTGGGGAGATGGGAGAGTTTCTGGGCTCTGAGATGCACAAGGAAGAGAAAGATCATTTTGTGTGCTGCTAATCTGTCTCTGCAGGAGCACTGGTTTTCACCTCTGTAGCATCTGCCATGGGGAGCTTCAGAGTGGGATACAGGAGCAGCAAGAAAAATAACTTCAAGAAAGACTTACTGCCTTCATTATTAGTTAATGCTTGCCAAAAAGAATGATACAGAGGCAGGGGGTTGAATAGGTCTTAGTGGACTTCATATAACAGATGCAAACATCACACTGACATCTGTCTCTTTTCAGGAAGAAGGAAGCTTTGACTGAATCTGTCTCTAAAGCCCTAGATAGCAATCCAGGAGCTCTAGGATGTTCTTCCCAGCTCCATCTCAGACCTGAAATTCCAGGCCCATGGTGTCTTGCTGACAAACCTGAGCCATGTTAAGCTGAAGATAAAATACCAGTGATAGTTTCAAACTTCCCTTTTCCCCCACCCAAGCACTCATTGCTCTGAGCTGTGCACATGTACTGGCCTCTCCCAGCTCGGCCCTGGTGACAGGGTGATACATGGCCCAGACCTGCACTGCCTGAATGCCCCACAGGCTTTCATCTAGCACAGAGCTAGGCACTGGAGGTGCATAAAAGGGAGCAAGTAAGAAAAAGAAGCAGCTCTTGCAATGTGTAACAAATACAGATCTTAATATGGATTTCCTCCCACCTGAAAGAAAAACCCTGTTGTACAGCCACAGTAGGTCGGACCAGCTAGTGCAGGGGGATGCAGTGCATTTTTAGAGCACACTATTCTGGACAACAAGCTTTGGAAAGTGTCTCTGGAGGCTGAGCCAACCTCACAGTGCTGGCCCCAAAAATATTTAACACGTGCTCTTCTTAAAAAAGGCATTTTAAAGAAGTCTGGAGTTCAATCTGAATGCAAGCAAGCTTCTTTCAGCTCTCCATCCTCAGAGGCAGTGCAAGCAGATTCAAGGGGCACAAGCTGGCCATAAGCCCTCCGTTTGCTCCTTAAGCCAAAAATAAAGAATATGACTGCGAAATCGTTGCATATTCACCTGGTAAGTTTCTAATGTTTTTTCTCGGAGCAGTGGCTGCCACCAGTGCTCACCATAGTGCTCTCTCTGGTAGTGTGCCACCACCAGCTGTTGCTCACAATACAAAATCTGGAACCTGAAACCAGAGAAGCTGCAAACAAGGGCTAGCAGCCTCCCACAGCAGAGCAGGGTAGGCTGCCCACCAGAGGTACCTTCAGCACTTAGGAGACGACAGACTTTCAGTGCTTGGCACTCAGAGACCCTGCATGAGCGCATCCATTTGCACAACGTGCAATCAACCACTGGCTCTGCTCTTTTGACAAGGGCATGTAGTGATGGGACAAGGGGTAATGGCTTTAAACTAGAGTAAGTTTAGATTAGATATTAGGAAGAAATTCTTCACTGTGAGGGTGGTGAGGCACTGGAACAGGTTGCCCAGACAAGCTGAGGATGCCCTATCTCTGGAAGTGTTAAAGGCCAGGTTGAACGGGGCTTTGAGAAACCCTGCCCACGTCAGGGGGGTTGTAACTAGATGATCTTTAAGGTCCCTTCCAACACAAATAATTCTGTGATTCTATGATAACACACACACCAGCTCCTCACATCTGACATTCAGACCTGAGGACTCCAGAGGCCTAAAACAGGGGATGCACCTTTCTCCTGCCCCTGCTAGCTCACAGCAGTTAGGAGGGAGGCAGCAGGACACATCCCCACTGCGCTCCACTCCTGGAACTCCTATCACCGGCAATCCACCAGGCTGTTACACCCTTACAAGCAGGGATTGGCAGAGCAGCCTCCCCAGAGGAGGTAAGGTTTGTATCAAGGGCTAAAGATCAAACTGTATCTATCTCTGAACACACCTTTGTTAGTTTTGGCTGCACCCTTTCAGGTATCACCAGCCTCCCCAGGCAATCACATTCCTATCCCGAGCGCCCCAAGCCCGCTGCGCTCCTCCAAGGGCTGCATTCACCTGCGAGGTATCTGCACAGCTAGCTACTACGTCCACACAGCAGCCAGCAGCCACGGAGGTAGAGCCCCGGGAATAACGTAGCTGCAGCAAGCATTTTGCAGGGAGCAGAGGAAGGAGCTGGAAGCAGATTCATGGTCAGGCTGCTCTTTGGCTTTGCTGGAAACAGGAGTGGAAAGCTGGCACCAGCATCCAACCACCCCAACAAACATTGCATTCATATGCAGAGCTACAGAGCAAACGATCTGTCAGTTGTTCATCTGGAGAACAGGTTTCACCAGCCTGGATTAAATGATTACGTACCCACAGTATGTGCTTCTTGCTGCTCTTGGAGATAAAGGAAGTAAGGCACAAGGAGCCTTGTGGGAGAGAGACCTGACCCTGCAACCCAGCTCCAAGCACCTTTATGCTTGGAGAAGGTTTGAACCAGCACAGAGCACTGGGGAAGGGGGAGCAAGTGCATTTAAAGGCAGAATTTTGGTGCTGATGCGCTGAAATCGCTAATGCAAGAAAACACCTCATTTGATAGAAAACAGAAGGTGCACACTTTCCCTCCAATTACTGCCTCCAGATGTGCACCAGACTGGCTGTATTTCTGAGCCTTCTGCTCCTCGTTCCCACAAAGTTGAAGGCAGAGTGAGTGCAGTTGGAGGTCTAAAAGCACATGTGCAGCAGCAACAGAGCCTGCGTCCTGCCTTCACAAAACCCCCGTGGAGTGACTCCCTTAGGATGTAATTGCAGTCCACTTCATTCCAGGCCATGAGCATATGTCTGGCTACGGACATTACTGCAAGCACAGGAGAGGGGGGGAAAAAAAAAAAAAAGGAAACATAAAGGAGAAAGTGCAAAACAACACTCTGGTAATCCAAGCCCAGTTAGGATAATGGGTGTTTCCCTCCACAAAGAAAGGTTACTTTGCTACCTTTGGCAGTCTGGCCAGCTTCCTTGCATTAGTCTTCTGCAAAGCAGAAAAGAAAGGCTAACACCAGTTTAGCAGATTTAAAACCAAAATATTGTACCAAACCCGTGGGCCCCAGCAGCGCACACTGAATCCCTCTGGAGCACACGTGGGCAGAAAGCAGATGCCCAAAGAGCTAACACTGCAATTTTAGGACTCTCACAGACTTCTGGGGGTCTTGAACCCTTGCACCAGGGATCCCAAGGCATCTTTCTCCACGCTGTGGCCTTTCATGGGTCATCAGAGCTCACCCCAAGTCCCCATCTCTCAGAGGAGTCTATGTCTGCAGTGGGCGCAGTGAAAGATGCAGGAATGCAGTCACAGCACAGTGTGGGCAGCAGGAGCTGGAGCCACCACGCTCTGCCACCACTAAACCCACCGTGTTTCTCAAAATGAATGGTAGCAGCAGCACTATTGCTTTCATATTTGCCTTTTTTTTCCCCCCCAGAAAGAGCAAAGCCGTGCATCAGTCCATCTACTGCTCAGGAGCTGTACAAACACTGCTCTGAGGAGAACTCCCTACAAGTAGCCTGTAGCAAGCACCCAGCACCCAACACTCCCAGCTCAAACAGCTGCAGAGTGCAAATCCCTAAGCCATCAAAGTAAGGTCTTATCATTGGGAAGTGTCAGACAGACCTAAGCAATACTGAGCTGTCCTTCCCACATCAAGTGGCCATGAAAACACATAGGATTTGTCCAGCTTGGATGGCTCCCAGTCAGGCATTTACATTTATGGCTCTTGGACAGGTTTTTAAAAATACATCCCAGTGCATGTACGGATGTACTCCAAGATACACTTACATCCACAAGCACATGACCCAGGAGGTGGGTTTGAGCTGAAGTGACTCAGCCTCCTGGTTACAGGAACAAAATTAGCAACCACTCATAAACGTCTTATGTCTTAGATGGGGCTAGATGGCACTGTAAGTTAGTTAATGTCCCTTTGCCTCAGGAGATTTCACTTTGGCATTATGAGCAGTGGAAAACCAGGAAAGCTGGTGCTCCCTAGGGTATATTTTCCAGAGCTGGGCTAGTAATTCACTACAACAGCCTGATTCAACACATTTTCTAGGTACCTAGTTAGGAGCTGTATCCAATAGTTTAGTCATTCTTTGGAATTCACTTTTTTTTTTTTTTTAACAAATAATTCTTGGCTTGCCAAGATTTAAACATATGTTTTCCCCCAATACTTGGCCTACATTTCCCCTGCTTTAATTTATCCCATTACTCTTCATTAACCCCTGCCCCCCCACCCCCGTTGTTCCCATGCTGGATCCCTCTACCTCTCCCAGGAGAGCAGTGATGAAATGACATTTGCCTCCCAGACCTCCTGGCACATCACCCCTTCTCTTCAGGATCAGCTCAGCGGGGCAGAGAGCCCTCTGGCCTGGAGCCCCTGGAGCACTTAAGGATGCACAGCTGAAACAGAGCAAGGCAAAGCAGTGGAGAGAGGCAAGGACCAGGCTTGAAGGGACAGTGCCTGGCTGTATTCAGGTTAGAGCATTCCAGTCCCACGGCCTCGAGTCTCTGCCTGAGCTGGTTAGGAGATGAACGAGTAAGGATCTGCCCTATTCTCACACTCAGACCTTCCAGAGCCTCTGCAGTCGAGTGAGCACGCTGTGGCTAATGGCACCATGCCATCGTCTGGAGGGGGGAAGGGGGACGTGCAGTCCCGGTGCAGCACATCTGCCTCTAGGGCTGGGAAGAGGATGGCCACCTCTTTAACAGAGACCCTATCCATCACATGTAACACTCAGATGGGTATCTCTCTCCCATCATTTAACAAAGGGAGCAGACCTCTGGAAAAAAAAAAAAAAAGAAACCAACCGACACTTCTCCCAGCAGAGGATCCCATCAGCTCCCCAATAGCCCGGGTCATTCGTGCCTGTGAATCTGCCTTCCCGTTCCTCAAGTAACAGATTAGTCACGTACATTTGCAATGGCAGCGATTCTGCCAAATAGCTGAGGAGCGGGGAAGGAGGAGAACAGCAACATGACAAAAACAGGCAGAGAAGGGGAGATGAAAAATAAAATGCCTCTTCCTCTTCTCCCATGCCCCTTTGGTTTTCAATGGTTTTCAGTGTTTGCATTCACAAACTGCTAAACAGCTGAATCACATGCTGGAGGTGAAATCCAGGCGTTATCTAGCCAGAGACTTGGACAACCCTGTCTCTCCTCTTTTGCCCCTGGGCTGGCAGGAGCATTGCCTAGCAGCCAGAATACTGACAGCTCCTCTGAGGTTGGGACAAAAAGCCTCCCTAAATACGAACAATGTTTGGCAACTGGGAAAAACTCTCACTTGAGTTCCCATCTTCTGAGTGACTGACAAATGCCAGACCCTGCAGGGCTGGCATAGGCTCTGGGCTGCAAAGTGTCCTGCTTAGAAGCCAGTCACTCAGAGGAAAAAACAAACAGGCTAAAGGTACCCAAGAATCCAGCTCCTGATTAGTACGTGGCTTACTGCAAATAGTTACTTCCTTCTTTCAATAACATGCATGAAAAATCACCGTTGTCATTGGAGCAGCAGCGCGTGGAGCCTGCAAGCAGGTCAGACTGCTCCTCTATGCTATACATGCTTGTGTCAAACTGCCCCTGTCCCAACACGCTTTCAGCTACAAATGCCCCGACAGGTAACAAAGAGGGAGAATCAAAGCAAGAACACCTGAGTGATCCAGTAACAAGGAAAAAAAACTGCAGGCTGTTTCGTGTCATCTGATTTGTGCACACATTCCCAGACACTCAGTCTTTTCCCTGCAGTTCAGGGAAATGCCAAATGAGCAGCACGGCCTGGAGAGACTCTAAAGAGGAGAAAAGAAAACGCATGCCTAGGGAAAAGCAGATGAGCCGGTTTTCAAGAAAAGCGTTACTACTGCAACAAGAGATAGGCACATACGTAGGCGGTCCCCATCCTGGTAATAAATAACAGCTACAAAACTCTTATTAACCTCTGTAAAATATGTTGGTTCTGCCAGTTTGTCCATCACGAAGCTATCTGTCACTTGTCAGCACTGCAATATTCACTTCAGCTGTCCCAGAGAAAGACAGAAAACACAGCAGGCTGGTCACAGCATCCCACATGGCAGCCAAGGAGAGTCACAGTTGCAAAGGACACATCCTTGTTATGATAAAATGATGCTCCCATCTTGTATCCTCTGCATTAGGGGGCAGTTCTGAAAAAGGAGAATAAAATACAAGCATCACTTCTGAGACAGGAACTTCACTGTAACAAAAATATCAAAAAAAAAACCCTTAGGAATCTTCTACCTTTCCTTGCTATGAACAAGTAGCCATGGGGTTTGGCCTGAGCATCTGGCCCAGTGCATTCACCTGCAGCCCAATGCAAGCCTGGCTGGCCCCATTCATCAGCAGGGATGCGAAGTGCCAAGTCCCTTCTCCTCTAACCATCCCACTTCATGGAGGGCAATTCAAGAAAAAAGTGGCCTGATACTGCTGAGAGAAATCCCGTCCCATGCATTGCCAGGCTTCCCCCACTGTCCCATTTCAGAAACAGCATGGGGAGGAGGGAAAAAATGCATAAATCAGAGCTCTGATATCTGGCACTACACCAGGACATAGATTAGACTACTCAATCATTTTAATTGCTATCCAACAGTAATAATCTATTTAAGCCATTTACTCTAAAACATGCATAGCACTTCATAATGTTTATAATGTTAATTGGGGAGGTCCTGAACCAAACAGCCACCCTGGGTAGCAAAGCTGTGTATTTGGGGGGATTTATTTGGTTGGCTATTTTGAGAACTGCACTAGCATAATGTTTTTCTTAGCTTTTTGCTTCGACATATATATTTTTGTCTGTTTACTTGGCAATCTCATGTACTTGGCAGAGAGAAAAAAAAAAAGCAGAGCAGTAACCGAAATTACACGCACTTCCCTATGCAACATAGGGTTATTCTTCTATGTCTTGTTCCTGCCCAGCATATTTAATTTTGTACTCCTTTGACTTGAATGCTCAGGAAGGGTGCCATTTTTAGAATTACCAAACCTAAGTAGCTGCAACTACGTAAATGAGGAGTATGTCAAGACCTAAGGGGAACCAGTGGTTTTACTAGGTCATCAGTTAACCCACACAGACAGGAGTGCAGGGTGTCAGTGAAGGAGATAATCCAGCTCCAAGACAGATCCCATCATGGGGAGTTTCGTGCTCCACAGAGGCACTTTGTTCTCTCTTAAGGAAGATGGGACATCGGAAAGAGTTCGCTCCCCTCCATCTGCACCGTTACAATGTCTATTTTTGCAGGTAGGTACTGGGAAGGATGTGCTGGGTATGCAGAAGCTATTGCCTGCCATATACTGAGTAAAACCATAAGGTAAAAGATGGTGCAGCCTCTGCTCTGGCTGTGTCCATCCCATATGTCAATGAGCAATAAAAACAGGGCACTGAAAAATAAACCTCACTGTTCCAAAAAGCTTCCCGGAGCATATCTTCAGTGGTATCATATTTTTCCTGCCTCTTTCTGATCCTTTTTTTTACTGTTGAAGTTGACATCTTTTTCCTCTTGCTGAACCAGCATTTCCTGAACAGCAAACCATAGTCAGAAATTTTCCATCCAGCTCTCAAGTGGATTTCAACATTCAGTGCTTGTGCATGCTTATGAGAAGATGTTAATGTCAATCTCAGAAAATTATCTACAGGATGTGGAAAGGGGTATCACCAATGAGGAGCAGCACCTGTTTTTGGGGAAGTTCAGACATAGCTGGTTTCTTTGCCTCAAAACAGGGGGCAGCTCTTCTCTGCTCACTTACATCTGTAATGATGATCCTCATTTGCATGTTTATTGCCCACTGACCTGTCACTTGGAAAAAATCCTTCCACGGGGAATACTGCCTTTCGTGACACAGTGCATCCCCTTTCAAACACCCTGGGGACATTCTGATGGTTTTAAAACCAAACATCTTGGAAAAGAGCATTGCTCTCCTAATAAACAGCAGTACAGACAGGCCTCAGAAGCCAAACAAGCAAGGCAGGAGCTTGTGGGAGGAGATGGTAATAAATACAATAGCCAGCTTCTTAATCACCATCCCCACGCCTGATAATCATTACCTTGTCACAGCTGCCCTAGGCATAGCAGTGACGGGACAGCTCTCCACATTTGGAGGACTTTACCCAGCAAAATCTCCTCAGGAATGAACAAGGACTTAAGTGTAAGCACACCCAAGAACTTTTAAAGAAGTTGGAAAAGAAATATCTCCTGCTCTGCCAGAGAGCCATCAGTCACAAGGCAGCCTAGGAAAAGCAGTCTCCAGTCTGCAACAGTTGCACGTCAGCAATCCCAATAGTCAAGGCTTTTTTGGGAGCAAGGATGGACACAGTCAAAACCAGCCTGTCCCGCTCAGAATTTCTGCCTGCAGGGCACTCACGTCAAAGCTTTTTTAATATGGTTTTAATGGCAGTCGAATGACAAGCAAGGCATCATTCCCTTCAAAGCCCAGCACTCCTCCTCCACTAAGATATCTACAACTGCTATCATCAGCTTAAGGGGCAATAACTTCACCAGGACACAAAGCTGGTTTATGAGGGGGAGGGGGCAGAGTTAACCCAAAGTCATTAACCCACCCACTGTCATCAGCCAGCAGCTCTGAGCACACTCGCAGGGAGGCAGTGGAGAGACACAACATCCCAGCAGCGTGTCCGGGAGGGGATGCGTTTTCTAAAGGACACAGCTGATTCATCGCTGCGCTTAAAAATCTCGGGCAGTTTCAGCTGCAGAGGCCTGACCTGCTTGGCATCCAGCCGGCCAGCATCAGCTGCCTCCCAGAAAAGGGAAAGAAAAAAATAAAAAGTTTTCAAATGACAGAGTGGGCAGAGGAACTGGGAGGTGGGGAAAGGAGGGAGTGTGGGGGGAAAGAGGTGGGCTTGCAGGCTCTGGTTGAGTAACAGGCTAATTCCGCCCTGCTCCCTGACCACGACTCCATCTAATTACCCTGTTTCCTCTGAGCTGATTGGAAAGTGGCCTTGTGTCTGGAAAAGGCAGTAAGCATCTTACATGCATCTGTTCCACCTAATCCCTAATAACTAGTGCCTGTGTGTTCCGAGAGAGGAGGAGGAGGTGGGGGAGGACAGGCAGGGAAGGGTTTCCCATGTATGCTGCCATGTGGCAGCGGGCAGGGCAGCCCTGTTGCCTGGGCTGGGGGCTTTCGGGGAACTAACGCTGTTCCTCTTCTGTCCGTTTCACAATCTGGAGGCCCTTTCCTCCTTCCCCTTGCAATAATAACAAATTTTATTTAGAAAAAAAAAAAAAAAAGAGAGAGAGAGAGAGGGAACTAGGCCTGGGAAGGACACATTTTGCTGAGCCTCGCTGCAGTTGGGATCTGTTTAAGCCACTCGTTTTCCCCTTGCCCTAATCCTACATTATCCTTTAGGCATGACGTTCAATTCCTGAAGGGGGGTGGGAAGCACTCTCCAGGGCCCTGCATGGTTTGCCCAGGAATTTGGATTGCACTTTTTATGTGCAGCTCTGGGAAGGGCAGAGGGACAATTATGCAGTCGTTTAGTAGCCAGGCAGGCATATTTTCAGCGAGCTCTTCCTAGTGGGAGCTAATTCAACACGAGGAAAGCGCGGGGATAAACAGCTCCATTTGCCAGTAAAAGGATTGTCACATCTGGAATTTACACAAGTTACGAGGAGCCAGGAGCCACTATTTTGTTTCGCTCGCACGGCGTCATAAAACATGTTAGCACTTTAAAAGTGCTGCGAGGCAGATGGACACAGGACAACGACATCTCCCATAACCCTGCCATGTCCTTGCGATGGCAGGGGACACCAGACTCAGCCCCACATCTTGCTCAATGCCCTCAACTTTGTTCCAGCCCCTGGGAAGGGAGGCTTTTGGCCTCCAACACAACCAGCTGGCATCACATCTCCACATTACAGCCTCGGGAGGCTCCCGGCTGGGAGAGGGTCAGACTGTGCCCCCTTGCACACCTCGTGGGGCATGCCAGCCTTCCCCCCAGGCTAACCCACATGGGGGAGGACTAAGTAACCAATCACTTTAAACCAGTTTCAAAAAGGTTGGCTCTGCCTCTGTGGGGTGTTTATTTCCAAGAGCTTTCCACATTTATCCAGCCAGTTTTCCACTGTTTTGCTTTGGGATTTTTGCAGTTGCAAGCTGTGAGTGCTCCTACTGCAAGAGCCTCCTTGCTCATGCCTTAGCACACCAATGATGCCAGAGGTGATAATGACTCCCAGAGGCTGAGCTGCACCTGGTTCCCATAGAATCCCTTGTCCTCGCCCCAACAAAAATACTGGGAAAGCATCCTGCATAAGAGTGGTGGGATCCAGACATCCACAGGCTAGACCCATCCCATCCAGTAATGGTGGACATAAAAATTAAGAGGAAGAAAACTGAAGTCAATGGCGTTGGCCATTTCACCTTTGGTGCTTCAGATCTGCACACAGGCCTTAAGGATGAGCAAGGCAAAACACAACAGCCCACCTTTCCCAATTTATTTTTTCTCTATTTTGTGTCATGGAGCAGCAGTTACCCAAGAAACCTGCTGCTCACTGACATTCATGAAGGACTGAGCCAGACTGGGTAGGAAAACAAGTATGAGGACAAAAGTCATCTCTCATCCCATTGTGCTGGTTGTGAAACACTGTGCAGAGGTAAAGGCCTGCAGGTTATCATGTAAAAACCTGGCTGTGATTTATAACTCCTCCTCATCCTCCCTCCAAGGGACAAAGTGCTGCTCATGTCACTCCGCAGAGGACTGGAAGCATCACAGCTCACTATGCTGTTTGCCAGTAGGGGACAATCCCAGCTTTTGTGAGTCATCCACCTTGCCCATCCAGTATCAGATCCACTGCCTGGAGTCCACCAGCGCTCACATGTGCCTGTTGGGGAGCAAACCTCATGTCAAGGACACCTCCCCTGCAGTGGGACGCACAGCACCAGCCCTTCAAGGGTGATGGGTGGTGGAGAGAGTCGGCTGCCTTCTGCTTGAGCTCTCATGACTGGCCAGAAAAGTGAAGTGAAAGAACATGATGGGAAGCTGCAAGGTCACACTTTGCTTCTAATGCTGTCTTCCTGGTTCACAGGCTTTCCTTTTTCTTTAATTTTACTGTATTTTTTTTTCTCATTGAGATAATACTTTGTTATCTTGATGAGACAGATGCATCATTTGAACTTCAGCTTTATTAACATGAATAGAATCAATAGAATCATTTAGGTTGGAAAGGACCTCTGAGATCATCAAGTCCAACCTTTGACAAATCACCACCTTGACAGCCAGACCATGGCACTAAGTGCCACATCCAGTTGTTCCTAGCACACCACCAGGGATAGGAACTCCACCACCTCCCTGGGCAGTCTGTTCCAATGCTTAACATCTCTTTCCTTGAAGAAATTCTTCCTAATGTCCATTCTGAACCTGCCCTGGCAGAGTTTGAGGCTACATCCTTTTGTACTATCACTAGTGTCCTGGGAGAAGAGGCCAACCTCCACCTGGCTACAGACTCCTTTCAGGGAGTTGTAGAGAGCAATAAGGTCTCCCCTGAGCCTCCTTTTCTCAGCTAAACAACCACAGCTCCCTCAGCCGCTCCTCATAGGACTTAAGCTCTAGACCCTTCACCAGCTTCATTGCCCTTCTCTGGACACAGTCCAGCACCTCAGTGTCTTTCTGTCCTGGTCCTGCTGGCCACACTATTGCTGATACAGGCCAGGATACCGTTGGCCTTCTTGTCCACCTGGGCACACTGCTGGTTCATGTTCAGCCACTGTCAACCAGCATCCTCATGTCCTTTTTTCTGGGCTGCTCTCCAGCCACTCTACTCCCAGACTGTAGAGCTACCTGGGGTTGTTGTGACCGAACTGCAGTGCCCAGCACCTGGCCTTGTTAAATCCCATGCTGTTGGCCTTGGCTCATCAGTCCAGCCTGTCCAATCCCTCTGCAGAAATTTCCTATCCTCCACATGCAGAAGGCATCTCATGTCACTCTAACTAACATTTAAAGCCCTTTAAGGTAACTTGGTACGACTTCACCATGAGTAAAGCTCCTGACACTTTAAGATTAGCAGCTGAAAGAAAAAAAAATTTTAAAGTGTTTTCAAAACCTCCATCTTTAGGGAACAGATAAGTGGCATAAACGTTGTGTACCCAGAACCACAGGCAGTTTTCTGTTAATTGAGGCTGAAGTGCTGAAGTGCTTTGAAAACAGGGGTCACCTTTCTCCCAAGCTGTGGAGATGGCTTTGGGGAGGAGCTGTGACCACAGGTGTCACAGTAGCACAGACTTGCCTGAATGTGCAATAGTTGGCATGGAATATAAACAGTAGCAAACAGATGGTGTTTTAGGAGGAGAAAACATCCAATTGATCAAATTTATGACCAGAGGTTGTGCTTACAATTGTAGCTGCAGCCTCACTACTTCCTTCTCAGTGTTCCTACTTGCCATGCCACAATGGCTCCAAGCACTCTGAAGGCCTTTTCCACAGCCTGGTCATTACACCCTCAGGGAAAAAAAAACCCAAACAAACAGTCCAAGCTGACAAGAACTCTGCCCCGCAGCTACACCTCCAAAAGACAAGAGCTGCAGAGGGATAAGAAGGAAGAAAATTCGGCTTGAACAGATCTCCTCTAATGAAGAGTCAGTACAGAAGGATGTTTATTTGCACCAAAGTGCCAATGTAGAAACTTACCTAGGATTTATTTGCAGTGCTGGGAGGAGAACGCTGAGGTACCTTGGCTTCCCACAGTTAGTGCCTGTAGGAAGAGCAAATGACCACAGTTCAGGAGCTGTGTCTCATGGTCCCATGCTGCACATACAAAGCTTTAACCAGTCCCTCAATCTCTTGCATTTTTTGAGATCCCTTTCAAAGCCATTAAAAGGTTGTTTAAAACAACAGAGGTCTTTGCATGACAAATTCCACATGCTGCATACACAGACATTATGGTTTTCAAAACTTCTAAAAGAATAAATTCACTGTATCCCAGTTCATGCTCTGCATATGGCATGATGCTCTCAGCCTAGATGGATGAAATAAAACAATGACTGTGTTGTATGATAGGGCTTAGCATGAAGTGGCTATTTTCTACTCTGCCTTCACTGAGGTTCTATCTTTCCAGGATGAAACCTTCATAAATTTTCCATTTGGGGATACTGAGCAGATTTATTCTGACACCCTTCTCTGGGGAAAGTCTGCAGCTTCTGAAAGATGGGACGTGGCTACAGCATCTGCACGGTCACAGCCCACTGAGGGGCATTTGTTATCATCCATCCCAACTGGGCTGATTATTCCTCAATAGCAATGGCTTATTTTAATTGTCTGAACTCTGTTAAGGCAGGGCCGAATCCCCTTAGCTCCTCTAATTCTAGGAGCTGGATTTTCAGCTCACTTCATAGGGTTTTTGTCTTTCAGTCTTGCACTGTCTTTGCACTAAGTCACATACCATAGCCATACCTTGGGAAAACCCGTATCTGCAGGTTCCTCTTCTAGACAGGGAAAAAACTGCTCTAACATGGAATGTGACCCTACTTTGAAGGTGTCCCTCCAGAGATCCTTTCCAGCCAAAGTGTCTCTGAGACAAAGGCGTTATACTACTTGAGTGGGGATAAGCAGAACTGAAGTTGCATGAAGCTGGGCTGACCTGGAGCATGAGCAGAGCACTGAGCATTCCTGGAAGCCTGGAGATGCCCAACTGGAGGCCAGTGCCTGTCCAGAGATGGTCTCCTTTGGAACTGTTGATACTCAGCAATGGGTTCAGAAATAACGCCATGCTAACAGGCTTGGGGACTGAGTGTCCACTCCTGAAAATCTCAGCTGAAAGCGCTCGCCCAGTGCTAGGCAGTGAGTGAGCTGGCAGAAGCACAAATCATATCTTCATTCTCCCTGTTGCCAGATCTATTCTTTAGCCACACAATCCATGGTAAAAACTTACCTGCTGCAACTTTATGTAACAGTTATGTCATCCTTAGATTTCAGAGGGCACCTGCAAAATCCAGTTAACTTACCACACCAAAAAAAAGAAAACAATAAGGTACTTCAGATGAGAAGATAAAAAGATAAGCCTGTTTTCAAGAGTGAAGCCTTTACAGTTTATAATTAAATATAACCCTCTATTTCAGCTATTAACCTAATTTTAATGGAAATCCTTGAGATTAAGATTACTTAATATTGTGTAATGGGGAAATGTAAATAAGGCATTTCCAAAGCAGATAACAAACTTTTTTTACAAACATTAGAATGTGTTTTCCCCACACCACAAATGTTATAGGTGATCCAGGTGAGGGGCTGAGCAGACACAAACTGTACACTTTTCCATTTCCATATGAACTGGTGTAAATCAGGAAGAATTCATGTAGTCATTGGGCATAACAGAAACTCAGGGGTTTGCTCTGCTTATAGCTTATTCATCTATGGCTTTATATTTAAATATTTTCACAGTGTCTCCCACATGGGGGCTTGGGGGTTTATAGGCAGTCAGAGATGCGAGTAGATAAAAGACTAATTTAAGGGCTATTTGACTTTTCATCCTTATTCCTTACTGCCTTGCTTTTGTGGGTTTAAAGCACAATCCTTTGACTAATTAAATACATATGAATATTCTGTTGCCTGTGAAATGAATATATAATTAGACTCAAGAGAATGATTATGTGCTCTCTAGGTGACACTAACACTTCAGCATAAAGGTACCCCAGACACCACTAAATGTAACCTATGAGCTGCTGCTAATAACGTGCCGCCTCTGATCTCCAGAGGATTATCTTACTCTGGAGCTCTTATAGGAGCCCTATACTGAAAGGGACCTGAAACAGATACCTTGTAATTTATGTCTCTGCTTAGTGCCTCAATGAGGAAAGGTGGCCTTTGCTCCAAATTGTAAGGGTTTCTTTCCTTTTCTTTTTTTCAGGTCTAAAGTTAAGGCACACGATCGTCAGGGAGTAGAATGCTGTAAGGAACATCTGGGTGGTTTCAGGGAAGAAAGTGTATTTTGTTGTCCAAGCTCCATTTTTTTTCTGGTTGTTTTTTTTTTTTTCATATTCAGGACCACTTTTCCCCCTTACAAACACAGAGAAACTTCTTAAATAAATTATAGTAGGCAGTGCCCTGTCCCTCTGCTCCAAAATTAAAGATGTCTGCTGCTTTACCCTCACCAACTACTACCTCCTAGTGCTATTATTTAGTATACCTCATAAATATCAGAGTCCATTTCCTTTCCTCTACTTGGCATTTTTCCCATCACTTCTATACCGCTAGGTTTTTTAACAGAGGTTACCCTCCCAGCCACTACACGATAATGATTTTTTTTTCTTCCATGCTCTGTGGTTAGACCAGCTCAGACAACTAGATAAATATTGTGGGGAACTGACCATTAAATATCAGGTTTGCCTGTGTTTTTTCACAGAGGTCTTTATTTCCTTAAATTGTAGGTGGTCTCCTTAAGACAGCAGGGAGACAAGCCTGATGTAGTGAAAGGATGGGAAAAAGAAGAAGCAGAAAAATCCCCTTAGGATGTTTCCTATGGTAGAACAGAGTAAGGAATATTTTCAGAAATGGTAAGAAATATTTCAGGGAAGCTCCAGACAAATTCAAATCCAAATCTTCTGTGAGGTTCAGTGAAATCCACAAATTGTGTGTTTCCTCCAAAACCCCAAACCAGGTAACTTGAACCTGATTTTGGAGTGAGTACTGGGGCACTGGCATTTCTGTACCCCTTGGCAATTGTGAAGAGTGTTAGGTGTGATTTTTTTAAGATTTCTGCTTTTTCAGAGTAAAGTCTGCTTAAAAAAAGAATGAGCGAGCTACTGAAAAGCAGCTCTATCAACTAATGTCAACCAAAAATTTAGATAAGGAGGGGAGAATGCCCCTTTGCTAGAAGTATGGGCTCAGTGTAAGCAACCTGCAAATTTCCTCTCGTCTTAAAAAGCAAGTGATGCTTGGACAGGCCAAGAGATAACAACAGGCATGCAGCCATGATGCTGGCAGTACCTGTGACATTGCTAGCATTACCCTCATGTAAGCACAGTAGCATACGATATCAGTGCAGTTCAGTCACTTTTCCACAGGGTCTACCTCCTTAAAAAACTTCCTTCAGCAGGAGACTGGCTTACTTTTTTTGTTGCTGTGGTTTACATTGTCAATAGTACATGTCCTCTAAGGGAGCCCCTGGTGGTCTAGAGGTTAAGGACGCGGTGCTGTCACTGCCGAGGCCCGGGTTCGATTCCCAGTCGGGGCCACTCCCCGGGCAGATGTTGCTCGTTAGCCCTGCAAGGCTACGTCCTGAGGACCTCGCTGCCACCGTCCAAGCTCTCTTGGCCCCGGCAGATGAACCTTAGCATTAAAGGGTGGTCTCAGTTCCGCGCACACTGTGTCTCACCTAAAAAATCCAATGCGCAGGCTGGAAGGTGTAAAGACCTTCCCCGGATCTTCATTCGCGAAGACTGGCCATTACTTACTTACTTACTTACTTACTTACTTACTAGTACATGTCCTCTGCTGGTACTGAGGAGAACTGTACCAGAGAAGACGTAGGACCTTTGTCAGTGTACTTGATCTCCGGATTTCATCACGCATAATATGCTTCACTGCAATTGCCTTACTTTACCCCTTGCTCAACACAAAGAGGTACCCAGACTTTAGAGTTCTGTATCTGTGCTTAAGCTCCAAGGCAGACATACCTGAACACTGGGAATGAAGCGTACATCTTCTTTACAGCCCCAAAAGCATGCCATTTGGAAAGTTTAGGGACAAAGTAATTACTCAGCTGGGCAGCACAGCTTATTGGTCCCAGCTTATACCAACTCGAGGTAAAACTTCTTTCCCGAGGCCACAGGTGGTCAGGTTGGCCCCACTGACATCCCTCTGCAGCTCACCCTCAGCCATGCTGGATCTGCTCTGTGCCACTCACCACACTCTGCTTATGAGGCCTTGAGGGTTGCAGGTACCTGACACAGGGCATCTGCTGGGACCCTTCATTCACTTTTCTCAAATTTCTTCCCTTTTGGGAAGGAAAACCCAAAGTGTCTGCCTACTCACATGGAAACATACCACATATCTCAATCAGAGCTGCTAAGGCAGATTGCTAAACTTAATTACCAGTTCCAAGGCCTGAGATAGTGAATGACAGGTCAATTCATGCAGTGAGCTAGCAAAGATTGCTGATAAATGCTTTCTAATTGAAAGGATGATAAAACACCTATTAGTCACTGAGGAGCTTGAAGAATGAGTTAGTCCTGGGTTTTTTTACACTATGAAGATCAAGAAGTGCTAATCTCATTAGCACTCTGTAGTCATTTCCTACCAGCTTAGTCACTCAAAAGGTCCAGAAGGGATTGTGACATTGCAGAAGGGTGACCAGTCACTGTTCTCTCAGTCCTATTATGGGGATGAATAGAAGGAAGCATTATCAGCATCGATAATCTGTTGTACTCTGGAGAACATCAGACAGTTTTTGTGAATTAGATAAAAAGCAAAGAACAAAACTAACCTCTTACCCAAATCTCCCTTGGGAAAGCAACTTAACAATATGATGTATCCTTTGCACAGCACCTTCTATCCTGAAGCGTAAGATGGAGGTTAGTGGGCGTTAGGGGTCCAGGTACTTGAGACCCAGCTCCAGCAATGATCTGTGTACAGGCAGTTTGAAACTCAAAGGCTGAACTTTGCCCTATACAAACCACTGCATGGGCACACGTACCTGTTTTTCATTAAGGCATTAGGACAGTCACTCTGGCAGTCACACGGGATGAGAAATACTCTTAGATTGTCACAGCACGAAAAGCTACCAGAGTTGCCCTGCAAAAAGCTCTGTGCCTAGACATGACCCAGAAGTTACCTTCTGCAGAACTCTGTGACACAACACTTGTTGCTGGGAAGACACGAAAAGAGCCACCACCCATTAGCAGGAACCTCTGCTGCCTTGTTTCCACGCTGTGCAGCCCTGGATGATTTTTTCTGCTGTTTCTCTTTCCTTTCCTGCTTTTTTGCTGGTCCTCTTAGAAAATGAGATCTTCAGAGTGAGACTGACAGTGTATTGGCTCTGTGCTGAACACAATGGGCTACAGCCCTCTCTTAAGCCTCTAGGTACTGCTGTCATGTAAACAATAATCCATGACACTTGCACACACCACAATGCTGAAATGTAGCCATGCTAGAGGTAAGGTTGCGATGCAGCCAAGTGACAGAAGCCACAGAACACGTACAAGGTGAAGCTTTGCCAAAGACAAAAGGTCAGGTTGGTTTTGCACCCTTAAGAAGCAGACCTCACCTTATGTGTTAGGATGTGCCTTACTTTCCCCCTTTCTGTTTCACCAACACCCACCCAGAGTTCTCAGTACACGGTATTTGATATCTACATTAGGAATCCCAGGGTTTTCCAGGAGGTTGCAGAACTCCTGAAACTGTGCTTTCCATGTTTAACTAGTGACAGATTTACTGTCTCTGTATCAAAAATCATATAAATTCTTTCCACAGAAAGGCCATTTCGCATGGAAACAAGTGTGCCTAGCTGGCATATCTGACTAGAAACTGGCTTGAGGGGAGAGAGAAAATAGTTGCACTAACCAGTGTGTGAAAGCAGTCCAACGATTAGATGATTAGTGGTGCTTGTATTTATGCATTCAAGTAGAGTAGAAGCTTGTAAAACTGTAAGACCTTGTTCTCTTAATTGCAGATCTCCAAACTTTTGAAAGTCCAGATCAGTCTTGGTCAGCTCATTCTTGTTGTACTCAGTATGGTTTGCCTCAAGCCAAAAGCCTCAGGCTATGCACAGACACCTTTCTTCATAGTCAGATGTACAGGTAGGTATTTTTACAGAACTGTAAGAAACAAATCAGATCAGCAGCTCTGCAAGTAAAATCTTACAGATGTAACTTGCAAAGGAGTAACAGTGGTGCACAACTATGGGCAAAAACTTCTTCCATCAGCCACGTCCAAAAGACGTATTAACTAGAAGTATAGTGTCTGCAATAGTACACTAATATTTAGAACAATTTAGTGCATGGCCATCAATGGAGGTCATCTTGTGCCATTTACTTTACAGCACACAGGTCTCAAACCTGCTTTCCATAGGCCCTTCACATGCTATAATTATGTATCAAATATAGTCATGCATATGTAATTATGTATCACATATATGTCTTTTATGTAGTCTCCAAGAGTACTACCCCTGTTGTGCAGGTGCCTATGTTGGTATAAAACTTCAGTTTACTAACTAATTAAAATATATTTCTATAATAAATTTTAGTATATAAGTTTATTTATATATTTGCTTACACTTACATAAAAATTTCTAAGTTAGGGATAAGCCATGCCACTCTACATCCATTTAAACTACTAAGCACCCATTCTCACTGCAAGATTTTCTACCAGGCATTTGGAAAAGTACAGCAGCTCAAGCAGGCCAGTCCGTGGTTGTGGTGGTTATACAAATCTTCAGTATACATTCCAATAAAGGCTCCCTAGACATTTTCACACATACTCTGGAATAAAGGACACATATCTCAGTGATAGAGAACCTTTTTTCCAATCATCAGTGAAAATTCTTTGGATCCAAGATTGTTGTTTGATCCCAGGAAAAGGCTAACAGTGATGGCAGTGTTTAGGCAGTTGCTCCATCAGTTATTCACAGGAGTGCACTACAATTCAGATCAGGCAACTGATTCCTTTTTTTTTTTTTTAATAAAAACATCTTTAATTTTTCAGAGTGTCTTTTTTTTTGTCTTGAAACACTTTCTCAAGCCAGCTACAGCTGCAGCCTCCATCTCATCGAGCCGCAGACCAAATTAGCATCCATTCAAATTAATGACAGATATCCCAAGTTTTATGTTTCATGCTTACTGCAAAACTGAGAAGATGTGAAGCATGTTTACAAATGCAGAGACATTTTGGGAGTTGCCCTGTTTGATGTCTGGACTTGTTTTGTACACATTCCTTATATTGCTACAAGTTCTTGGAGGAGGATCCTTCCAGGGTGACTTTACTAAATTAAATGAAATGAAGCCTCCTTGTGTTTAAGCCAAAGGGAACATGGCTTAAAGCTTTTTTTTTCTCCTTTTTCCCATTGTAAGGTATCTTTTAGCTTATATCTTACTGTGTCATCGGCAATTAGGCATGTACAGGAAATCAATCTCAACAGGGATACAAGATTCAAAACCTGCCAGTAAGCATTAGATAACAATTCTTTTTAAACATAATCTCTTCAAAATTATGCTTATTAGTGAAATACAATGTCTGAGTCAAACACCTAGATAACCTAACAGTAATTAATTTTGTCAAAAGAACAAAATTAATGAACTGTTTTGGTGACCGTAGGAAGACAGACCACTAAGATAAAGCCTAGCCAGAGAGTTCCTCTAGGCTGAGAAGTACAAATAGCAGCATGACAATTGCTAGGAGGGACGCCAATGAAAAAAAAAAAAAAAAACAAAACAAAATGAAACAAAACAAACAAAAAAACTCCCAACAGAAATTTAGGCCTGGGAAATGCATGTCAGCCAGTAAGGAACTCTGTTCCTTTAGGTCTGGAGATTCAGGATGTCCTTACCGGAGGACTGCTTTCAAGGCATTTGTTTCCTCCTGTGTTTTTTTGGTTTTTTTTTTTGTTTTGCATCAAAAAGTTTTCCCCAATACTAACTGAAGCTAAGATTTCCCATCTAGGCACACAGGAAAACATAGATATTTTGTGCTCACATGTGTATTTCTGTATCTCTGTACACACTTACAAATACAAACACAGAGAAGGTCAAATGTTGAGCTGAAGGGCGGAAGTGTCCCTTCTCTGGTTACATGTCTGCACACGTAACATCAGGTTCAAACACTGAGGTGATGTAAATTGGAAATGCTGTGTTTAAGTCAGTAGTTAGGTCATTTGATGCTGATCCACAATACCTGCTTTAAGCATGTAGGCAGGCCATGCCCTCTTAAATCTGAGCAGATCCACTGAGTCAGAGGTAGCTTGCAAAGAATCAAATTTACTCCTTTTTTCCCCTCCACCTACAGCCTATCTATCCATAAAATTTGGAAAACAATGCAAACACACTGCAGGGTATTATTAGATTTTGAAAAGTCCTGCTTGCAGACTGTTGGAGTTATTCGCAAGAGTTAGGTTAGCAAAGTTGCTCTAGCAGCGCAATTCTTGAGATGCAGTCAGCAAACCAAGGCTAAAAAAACAAAGAACCCACAAATCAAGACCAGAAGAACAGGCAGCTTGTTTCATTGCTTCTGACAGCAAGGTAGTTTAAACCCTACTTTCATTTGGCCATGTGTGTCCTTAGTGATTTTGAAACTGGAAAGGACCTATTAGATATGTTGAATTGGGGTACTGCCAGTAGCTATTGCTTTCAAGACCTTTACACACTGAGATGGGAAGAATGTGTCCATGAAATAGATACTGGAGCCTGTGTGTTTATGCATGTGTGTGTCAACTTGAGAAGTAAAAAGGCCTGAATGAGTTCGATCTGTAAACTTAGCTCCCTTTGGGAAAACTCCTTCTCCAGAAACCTTCTACTTTTTTGGAAAATACACATTCATGTTATTCCAGCTCTCTCATATATTTTGTAATTCCAGTATGCAGTGAGATCAGTGTCTACATTGGCATAAAGCACTCCTGCACAAATGAAGAATAAAATGTCAAGACTGCTACAAAGATACACAAATTTATCCATAGAAAGGCTTAACGTGCTGCTTTACATTCACAAATAATGGTGTATGGGTACACAGATACACCTTCATCCTTTCTCTTAAAAGTTTTCACCTAATGACTTTATTAGTCAAAATTCTTCTATATCATAGAAAGAGGCACTGGAAGACAGTTTGATGTTGAAAGGACATCACAACACTCTGCCTCTCTGTTTCCATCTTGCATCTACATCCTGTGATTTCAGTTCCACCTCCAAGTTGGACTGAAGTGGAAGAAAAGCCCTCCACAGTGCCCCTCCACAGCACCCCTCTGATAGGGAGACAAAGACATGTGTGGGATGGAGAGAGGCTCAGAGGACACAGAGCCAACCACTGGCGTCTCTGCATTGCCTGCTGCACCCTTTGACCTTGTGTCACTTCCAGACTTTGAGTGTAGCAGTGGTCCATGGGCCCCTTCATCAGCCCTAACTCCCAGCAACTGTCTTTGTAATTGGGGAGTTACCTGCTTGCTCCACAGCTAGTAAAGGAAGCACCTAGAGAGCTGGAGCGATAGGCAAGTCCCTGTTGCCTCCCTCTCATCCATTTGCAGAGCTCTCTGGAGCAGGAGTGTGAGAAGGGATGAGGTCCTACCCCACATCCAGCCATGGCAGCTCAGCTCAGCTGGGAGGCGCCTGCAGCCAGCTCCCAGGTCCAACCCCTCCACGTCCAGCAACAGCAGCGGGGAGTTCTCAGATGAATGCTCCCGCCCTGGAACTCACTCCCCTTGGCACTTGCTCAGACCTTGAGTCTACTGACCTTCAGGGCACCATACAAGCTCATTCATTTTGCTCAGTGTTCGATTAACTGAGTCGTCTTCTATAATTTACTCTCAGATTGAGGCCTCCATGGCAAACAGGAATGAGAAATAAA